CAGATGATAAGATTAATTAATTTAAATAAATATATATAATGAATTAATTTGTTACTGCTTATAAATATATTTAACTTGCAACTTTTTTTTTCCTTACAGGTTACATCTATTAGACGTGAGCTGAGCCCAATGGAGCTATTTGTAAAGATGCACATGTGGAGTCAACACCGCCAAAAAGGGGTGCAGTAGTTCATGGATAACCATGCTCAACACTTCGTGGTATGTTCATTTAATCATCTTATTTTATAATTTATTATTTTCTTGACTTGAATATGATGATTGGTTTTTAAAAAATTCATGAGACCTATTGATTAGTACTTAAAAATACATTTTTATCAAGATTTTATATCATCCTTTTGCACTTGAGGTATCAATAACTCTTAACTAAAGCATGTTTTATAATAACATACCTAATAATATAAGATACCTTTAATTTTTTGTATATATTCATTTTAAATGCGTGGCTATCACATAAATAAAATGATTGATTGATAAATTTAAGTACTAAAATTAAAAGGATAAATAGATGACCAAACCTAAAAAGAGATGCTGGTGTAGTCCAAACTCGAACACTGTTCTGTAATTAGGTCATATCTAGAGTTGTAGATTTTGGATTTATGTCTACTTTATATAGATGGAAAGGTAAGACATAAATCTACAACTTTCATGTGGAGGTCTAGATTTAAAAAGGTGTTTTTCAAGTCCAAATTGTAGCAACAATGAAGAAGTCTGAATCTATCTTGCAGCCTAGACACTGTTTAGTGTTCAGCCCATCTTGAGTTCTAGAAGCCCAAATGACCTTAATTTTTTTTCTAGAAAGTTGAGATAATTTCCTAAAACTTTTATGTGGAGGTCTGGTTCAAATTCTGATGTTATCAATGATGTTCTAGGCAGACAAGAAGATAAGAATTGTCACTAAGTCAAAAGTTGGTCACCACTCAACAATTAGTCATGAAATGAAAAGTTCTTAATTTTGGCCTATAACAAGAGGCATTTGGCATTCATTTAGGCATCTTGGTTTCCAAATCAAGATCATGTTCTTGCTTTCTTTTTTTGTATTTTTGTAATGTTTAAGTTTTGTCTTCATAAATATCTTGTTATGCCTTTCAATTCCTTTCCTTTACTTAGTTAACTTTTATTTTATTTATGTTCTTATCTTGTTTATTTATGTTTCTCTTTTTCATTATGTTTAGCTAAGTTTATTATGTCTAGGTGAAAAGGTTACACTAATAGTGTAAGAATAAGTATAGTGCAAACTTAACATAGACTTTAATGTTTGATACTAACATGTTTTGTATTTGTTATCTTGTTCACTCTTAATACTTTGCTTGTTAAATAGTTAATCTAGATTTATATTGTATAACACTTGGTACAACAAATACTGGGCATTTTCATAGCCCAACCGAATGGTGTAACCGACACTTGTGCTATAAAAAGAACTTGATTTGTTGTTAACATAATTATAATCATGAATACCTGACAAAATTTACAAGTATTGGCATTATTCAAATAAGATAACTAATGTACTCATGTTAACAATTTATAATCTGATTGGAACCTCTTTTGTATGTGGTTTCCATTTGAGTAATGAAAGTTTATACTATATTTGTTTGAAATACCATTAGTGGATCCTCTAACCTTGATATTTGTTGTTATCATTGTTTAATCCTTACATTGATCTTTTATTTCAAAGTTCTCATCAACTTCTCCTTTTTCTTCTTCTATTATTATTATTATTCTTGTTGTTGTTCATAATTTATACAATTAACCTACTTGTGGTTTGACCTGATCTTGCTAAGTTATTTATTACTTCGACACTCCTGCACTTGGGAGAAGACATCAATCTTTTGGTTGTCGCCTATAATAGCCAGTTGAGAGAGAGTTATGGGGACGATCCTTCAACCCATTTGGATTTGGATCCAGATTTGTGGTTGGAGGTAGTATCGTCTAGTGAACCCAATAAAAATCGGGTCTATGAGCTTTCTAACATTATGGTAAAAAACGTGGGGTCGACTTCTAGTATCTCAACCGTTAAGAGCTCTCCATCAGTATCGAGCTCCAAGTTTGTGGAGTTCATGGCCTTAAAACAACAATATGAATGACTCTCGACGGATTACAATCAGCTTTGTCAAAAGGTCATGGAGATGAGATCAATGATGGATGATGATATATTTGCAGCCCTTTCTTGGTCGTACGATCTTGGGAACAACCAGTCTCCTCCTCCTCCTCCTCTAGCTTCGCCATTATTGTAGTTTAATTTTGTTTTTCAAACACATTAAATTTGTATTGAATATTTAGATGAATATCATTTAACATTATTTTTATATTTTAAATGTTTAATACAATTTTTTTGGCTATTTATTTGGTTAATTAGTTTTTTTTACTATTAATAATTTTTTTAAATATTTTAAATACATATTCATAGCTTTAAAGACGGAACAAGGCCATCGATATTTTACCGAGATTTGAAAAAAAATTATCACTCATGCTACAATCACTGACATATTTATTCCGTCAGTAGTTACAATTGCTATTATCAACGGCCTATATTTGCCGCCCATGCCACAATCACCGACAACCATTCCATTGGTGATTACGTTTGAAAATACAAATGGATATATTATGTTGATAAAGGTCTCATGGGAAAAAAATTTTAGCTCGCTTTACCGTCTGTAAAATCATCGATGTTTGTTTTTTTTAATTTCCAATAGAATTAGAGATGGAACGAGGAATTACCGACAATCGATATTCTAACAAAAGTGTTCCGCTGGTGAAGTTGTTGGTAAAAATTTTACTGACTAACAATGTGCCTTTCACAAATAGAATTAATCCATCGGTAAAACTATTTAATATATATATATACAAATGACTTAGCAATGCTCACACATTCTTTTTATTTTTTTAATTAACGTTTAAAAGAAATTTTGGGTCCGAATCTTAGCAAAGCTCGGACCGATTAACTAGTTTTACTATAATATATTTTGATGTTTTGTGGTTGACTAAATAGCTATTATCATGGAAGTTCTTTACTATTTTATTATTTTCCCCCTTTATTTCTTAAGATAGCAAGGGTACATACGACTTGATTCTGGAACACTTTGCCCTCTCTTTGCTTTGCAGAGAAGAGAAATGCGCTGGGATAAGTTCTGACTGCATGTTCAGGTTATTGTGATCTTCTGGGTCAATATGAATGCGAGTTAAGACTTTTTTGCTTCAAGTATATTTTTGTTTGCCTTAGGAGGCGTATTTACAAAAGTAGTATACGGTTTAACTGGGATTTTATTCTCATCTTTTGGCATCAAATTGCTCTATATATAATTAGAAGCAGATGAAATGTGCTCTCACCATGCCGTTTGATTCACCAAATGAGTGGTTCGTACCTATCAGTTTAACAAACTATATTATTACGAACTCAGAAAGTTTTAGATTGTGAAATAAAGGCTTGATTTTTGATAGAGAAACTAGGTATTTTTAAATCACTGATCTTAGGTTGATCATTTACAGCTACTTTGCATGCCTGCTAATACAATGTTCTTTCAGGCCAGTAACAATATCTACAAATACAAAATTAGTAGCACGCCAACAGCTGAAGTGTGCAAAGTTATCAACCTATGAGTAAACCTTGAAGGGTGTAAACAGTCTTCAATGCAGAAAAATAGAAAAGCGAGCAGGAATAAGTCGCCTTCTGCAAAGTTATCAACCTATGAGTAAACCTTGAAGGGTGTAAACAGTCTTCAATGCAGAAAAATAGAAAAGCGAGCAGGAATGAGTCGCCTTCTTGCGTGCAATTCACATGCGTTTCAAGATAATGAATTTATTGCTTATGGTACAAGTTGAACTTATTGTAGTTCATAGCACACGTGGAGTTTATACAAATTCAACTTATTGTAGTTCATAGCACACGTGGAGTTTGTACAAGTTGAACTTATTGTAGTTCATAGCACACGTAGAGTTTATGTCGGAACAATATTTAAGGTGAAAATCTTGGCAGATTTTCTTCATTGCAAGGGCGAAGGATAAAAGGGAATGGGAATCAAGTTAAGTTGATGTTTCCTTCTAACCGTGCCCCCAAAAACTTCATTCATATCGAGATCTTCTAAAAGTTCTCCGTTTGGAAGTTTCCAATCGAAATGGTATAGCAGCTGCGCAAGTAGAAGCTCGACAGTAGCTATGCCAAATAAAATGCCAGGACACATCCTCTTCCCAGCACCAAATGGGATGAATTCAAAATTAGTACCCATATAATCAATCGAACTATCTAGAAATCTCTCTGGATAGAATTTCTCAGCTTCAGTCCAATGATCAGAATCTCTTCCAATAGCCCACGCATTGATCATCACTTTACTTTTAGCCTGTATGACATATCCATTAATCTCGCACGTCTTGTTGCATTCTCTTGGAATTAAAGGACCTGGAGGATGTAGTCTCAGAGTTTCTTTGATAATCAGCTTTAAGAATTTCAAATTGTGAAGACTTGCTTCATCAACATTCACAGTATTACTAAAGACTTGCCTCACTTCCTCTTGTGCCTTTCGCATTACCCTTGGATTTCTAAACATTTCCGACATTGTCCATTCCATTAATGTTGATGATGTATCACTCCCAGCGGTGAATAGTTCCTGCAACAAGATTACAGGGTTAGGGAAGTGCTGATCATATCTTTCTTACATATATTGATCCAACTCGTAGAAGAGAAGTTTTGTCTTGATTATGGAGCTCCAGTTGTTTGACATTGGTGTATGTGAATTGGGATTGGTGTTTAGTTTAATTAATGTGTGCTTTCTCAAGTGTCTTCGAAGGCCTTCAAAAGTCGCTAGTACTTCCACGTGGTCTGGCGGGACCAGTGAGTCATGAACGGAGTCACCTCTATGGCCAGATCCGGCCATGTCTCTGGCCGTTGAAATTCACTGTTTCTACACATCTGGTTCAACAATGGACCCGTTGACTTTGGATATCTTCAAAAACTTTGGAGAAGGTGATATATATATATATATATATATAGAAAGTAGATCAAATGTTGTTGACTTCTAATTTAGTTATATCAGCACTCCTGGTGGAACATTAATTGTGACGCATATATATATATATATATATATATATATAGAAAGTAGATCAAATGTTGTTGACTTCTAATTTAGTTATATCAGCACTCCTGGTGGAACATTAATTGTGACGCATATATACTCACCAGGATTGTTGCTTTGATGCTGTCTGTTCTCAAAGGGAATCCAAGGTCCCCGTGATCCTGGAGATTCAAAAGGACATCCAGAAGATCCTCCGCTTTACTCTCTTCACCAGTCTTTGCCACTTCCCTGCAGACTCTATGTTCATATATAATGTTTTCTAGCATCTCATCTGCGTCCTGATGCGACCTTTTGAGCCTAGACCTAAACCTACTGATCTTGTACAACAGCTTAGAGGAAGGGAATACATCTGCAATATTCGCACCTCCTATTGCCTCCATCACATGCTCAATAATCGGTAAGAATGCTTCTTGGTGCTTGTATTTCTTACCAACACTTGTTCTTGCAGTGATGCCATTTAATAAATGAAAAATCATTTTACTAAGGTTGATTGGCGAGCCTGCTCTTGAATAAATGGTTCTAATAAAATTTGATACCTCTTCTTCCCTGATTGACCTGAATGATTTTACACGTTTCGCGCTAAGTAGCTCCGATACGCAAACCTTTTTCATTTGTCTCCAATAGTCTCCATATGGGGCAAAGGCAATGTCCTTGCTATTGTAAAACATGACTTCTGCAACAAGGAGACAAGGTCTGTCGACAAAGTTGATCTCATGGTTTTTCATTGCTTCTTTTGCTGCTTCTGGTGATGAAATTATGACAGTGGGAACCTCTCCAATTTGAAGTTGCATGACTGGTCCATATTTACTGGCCATGTCTCTTAGGACTTGATGCGGTAGAGGGCCAAGTAGCTGGTGAAGGTTTCCAATTAAGGGTAATTTCCAAGGTCCAGGAGGTGGAGTTGGAGTTGATGAGATTTTACCTTGTAATTTCTTCCATACTCTCAGAACTGTGAAGATTAAGAGGAGGAAAGGTAGAAGGATCTGGATAAACTGGAATACTTGCTCCATAACTAAAATGGTCGGGATTGACCAAGCTGCAAAAACTGGTTCGATGAGTTGTGTGGCTGATTCGACTACTTGATGTCTATTGTTATTGGATTTTTATCTTATTAAATAGGATGTGGATGTGATCAAATGTCCACAAGTCAATTTCAATAATTGATGGAACTACACACAAGTAACGAGAAGAAAAGTCAATGGAGTCCTCGCCACTCCACCCATTGATGGCTGATGTCATCGCCGATCCTTCTGAATTTATGTTAATTTAAACTTGAATATTATTTTTATTTATTTCAACTAAGCATATCCTCACATTATAAGGGGAAGCCCAGGACAAAACTGTAATTTTCTAATGGAGCCACTGTTAATGGACAAACTTGACTCGTGGAGATAAATTTTTCTTACAGGTATCTCTGTTTTCGGTGTTGATCAAAGGAAATGCGTATTCCACGTAATTATAGCCAAAATAAAGATAGTTAAAACTTTTAACATAGATTTTTCATAATAAACTTTAACCGAAATTGCAGAAAAATATATGCTTTGATATCCCCATCATCGTTTTTTTTTTTTTTACATGTAACAAAGTGATAACCCCAGGCAGTTCAAAAAATTTATACTAATACTATACATGTTGGTGTTATATCCCACTAAAAAACATTCCCTCCTAAATGTTAATAAATATTAGTTTTTATTGTATAGTAAATTAAGTAAAAATAATTGTGAATGAGCTCTCCTAAGCTATTATATATATATATATATATATATATATATGAAACTTTTTGGTGGGATTTAGGGACCTTCTAATAATAAAATCATGTTTGTTTTTAGTTGTGTATTATTATGGAAGATGTTGTAATATATAAAATATTATATTTTCCTTGTATTTATTTATTCATGTTTGTTCTTAGTTGTGTATTATTATGGAAGATGTTGTAATATATAAAATATTATATTTTCCTTGTATTTATTTATTCTTCGCAATTCACTATATAGTAACTATTATATGCAGCTCTAGTCATATATATAGAAGAGATGACTACTGATTATATATGCATTTCAATCAATTAAAGCTTATGCTTCAACTTGGTATCACAACCAAAAATATCTAAATAGATTCTGCTCTCCCTAATTGACACATTCTCTCCTTCCTTGCCTCAGTTCTGAAACAAATTTTTCTAAATAGATTCTTTTCTCTTTCTCTGCAAAAGAATTTGCTACAGATGTTTTTCCTTTGAAAAATAACATCTCTCTTCCCTTTCCCCTTTTGTGCCTCAGTTCTAAAGTATTGCATTGTGTCCTAGTCTACACTCTTGAAAAAATAGATAGTATATCCATAGCCAACTTCGGCTCCCTTTGCAGAAACTCTACTATATATTTATTCGAGTAGCAACTATCCGATTTCTCCAGCTTCACTAATGGATTCCTTTGCTGCTACTGCAGCTGGCATCAATGTTAGCTTGTCCTCCCCTACCTCATCCTCCTTTGTAATCCCTGCTTCCGCTAGTATGCTTGTCTTTGGATACAATGCAGCTCTATCTATCTCTTTAATTCCTAGCGCACCATCTGCCATCATAACTCTTTCCAACACACAAGTCATCAATCTCAAACTTACCAACATAAATTATCTATTTTGACATATGCAGATAAAGCCATATTTGATTGGTCAAGGTGTCTTTTCTTTTGTTAATGGCTCGATAATGTGTCCTTCTACGCACAATGATGTTTTTGCCACTTCAACTGCCTTCAATTTTGGTTTCTTCCAAGCCTTTTTTACAGGAAAACAGCAAGATCAACTCATCCTCAGTGCACTCCCCTCCTCTTTATCCACAGGCATCCTCCACCTTGTGGTGGATTGTCCAACCTCTACTATGTGGAGCATGCTTGAATGTGCTCTTGCATCTCCATTAAATGCTCAAACGTGCTTTTGCATGGCTGTTTTCAAGACCTTCATCATGGTGATTATAACATCACCATCTATCTGCAGAAGGCTAAGGGATTATTTATGAGCTAGTTGTCGCAGGCCATCCCATCTCCCTCACAAACTTCAATCTATATGTGTTTTAGGGCTTTCACAATGAATTTCGTGATTTGGTTACCAGTCTATCGATAAAATTTGACCCTCTACCATATTCTGAGTTGCATAGTAATTTATCTACTCATGATTTTTTACACAGGAGCTCCTTTTATCCTATTCCTATGGCTGCACCATTACCACCAATACTTGTGCAACCACCCTCTACCTTCGTTGCCTAAAGTTCATTTTCTATGTTTAATGGTAGCGGTTCATCCTCTCAACATAACAGGGGAAGACATAATTGGTGGAGGAATATGTACTCCCCCTCTACTCAGTATGGTGCTTAGACTTTTAGAGGTCACAACATCGATTTCTAGCAGTAATAGCGTGGGCATTGGCAGCAAAATTGCCCAGATTGGCAACGGTATAGAATAGGTAATGCTGGTCAGTGGCAGCGACAAATTAAATGCTAGCTTTGTAATATATTTAGGCACTCTGCATAATAAAGCTCCCAGTTTGTGCATTATGGGCCAACCTCTCTTTCAGTGATGCGTCCAAAGAAAATTTTGTCACTTAGTTTCCTAATACCAGTGCAAATCAACATATTACTCTAGATATTGCTAGTATAACACACGCAGAACTTTATCTCAGTAATGATCAATTGCATGTTGGTGATGGTAATGAACTTGTCATATCTAATATAGCCCGTAATATTTTATGTACCCCGAAACGAGTTTTTACGTTGTCTAATGTCTTGCATGTTTCAAAAATTACAAAAAAAAAAAATCTTATCTGTTCAACAATTATGCTGTGAAAACTGTCTTCTTTGAATTTCACCCTTTTTTTCTATGTTAAGGATCGCATCACCAAGGAGATTCTGCTTTCTGGTCAGAGTAAAGATGCCTTTAAGTCCTTTCCAAGTCTTCTACCACATTTATGCCTCAAGCTATTTTGTCTGCTAGTTTATCTACCTCTACTGATATTTAGCATTGCTGACTCGGTCGCCTAAGCTCCCAGGTTCTGAGTTTCTTAGCATCAAATAAAAAGGTCACTTGTACGTATTGTCCTTTAAATTTTTAGTGTCTAGCATGTCCATTAGAAAAATCATCGCGTCTGTCATTAGGACCTACGAGTCACTAAACATCTGCTCCTCTTGAACTAGTTTTTAGTGATGTTTGGGGTCCTGCCCCTATTTTATCTTCTAATGGTTTCCATTATTTTGTAATCTTTGTGGATGCGCACACAAAATTTATTTGATTTTATCCTTTTATTGCCAAATCTGATGTGTTTAATGTGTTTCATCAATTTCAAGTTTTGGTTGAACAACAATTCTCCTGCAAAATAAAATCAGTACAAACTGACTGGGGTGGTGAATATCGTAAATTAAATTCCTTGTTCAAAATTATTGGTATTCATCATCGTATTGTATGTCTACATAAGCATGAACAAAATGGTATTGTTGAGCGTCGTCACTGTCATATTTTTAAAACTAGTCTTGCCATGCTTAGTCACTGTAAGACACCTCTAAAATTCTAAAATTATGCATTTAAAACCTCTATCTATCTTATTAATCGTATACCGACATCGGTCTTACGAAATAACTGCCTATTTGAAACTTTGTTTCATCAACCATTTAATTATGGTTTCCTGCATGCTTTTAGATGTCTCTACTTTCCGTTCCTCTAACCATATAATGCTCATAAGTTAGACTATCACTCTACTACTTGTGTGTTTCTAGGTTATAATACCCCCCTCATCTAAGAAACTCGAAATTATGCATTCTTTCTTCTTTTTGATTAGTTGTTCAACAAACATGCAAGGCTAAACACTTTTTCTTAGTTGCAAGGACACGAAAACCTTTGGATTTCAAGAATTGTGAGATTTATTTTACCTTTTCTTTTTATTTTATATGATGAATATGTTTGTTCTCTTATACTTATTTTTTCCTATGATTGTTTATCTTCATTGCTAGAGCGGACTCTAAGTTATTATTGTAGACAATCTATTGCTAAGCTTTATATCAAAACCGGAGTTGTGGTATGAATTTGTGAAGCAACTAAGTTTAATACTTGTGGTGGAACTATGTTATTAATCTTAGGGAGAACATTCAATCAAATTAAACATAGACTGGAGACAATTATGTTTTCTTGATTAATCAACTTATCTAGTTCTAAAGGCTGACATTGAATTAAATTACTAGTGCGGATATTGTGGTTGTTTGATGGTTAGGGTTAGTTATATGACGGATCCGTTAACTAACCAATGTTAAAAAGAGATAAATATTCAAAATATAAATTGATGTTTTGTTTTCATGATCAGTTTTGATTTCTATAAGTGGATGTGTGCTTGCGATCAAGGTTTGTTCTCTTGATGATTTTCTGATTTTATTTAATTTCACTTGATAGTTTTCTAATTTCTTTTGCTTTAGCCTAGATAACGTCCAAACCCTCAAATTGCATATCATCTAGCATAAAAATCTGACTTGAACCTTCCTTGTGGGATCGACCCCTTGCTTGCTCTATACTATCTTGTGTGTTGTGTTTGAAGCTAAGGTAATTAATTTATGCGACCGTGACATCGCAACAGTATCGACTATTCTGAAATCTTTAGTTCGGTTGTCAAACTAACCACTTCCACCTAGTCCTCACCATTGTCGTCTCTAACTATTAATAGATTCGACAACTTGATGCTCATAATGGCTTTCTCAATGGTTCACTTCAGGAGGTTGTTTATATGCAACAACCCGCGGGGTTTGTCCACCCCATCTTGCCATCTCATTTATGTCACCTTTACAAGTCTCTATATCATTTAAAATAAGCCCCGTGGGTTTGGTACAAACTACTAAGTGATTTTCTTCTGTCAGTTGGCTTCCACGCTTCTAAGGTTGATGCTTCCTTATTCATTATGAATGTTAATCATGATATCTATGTGGATGACCTTCTACTCACCACTTTAATTCAATACCTTATTACCCTATTGAATTCAGAATTTAAACTCTGAGATCTGGGTTTTGCTCATGATTAGTACTTAAAAGTGTATTTTTATCAATAAGATTAGTCATTTAACAAGCAAAGTATTAAAGAGTGAACAAGATAACAAATATTACTTGTAAATCTCCATCATTTTGCACTTGAAGTATCAATAACTCCTTAACTAAAGCATGTTTTATAATAACAAGTCTGATACCATAAGGTACCTTTAATTTATGGTAAATGTTCATCCTAAATGTAGGCCTATTACATATATAAAAGGATTGGTTGATGAGTTGAAGTATTGAAATTGAAAGGACAAAGAGAGGGTCAAACTTAGAAAAAAGATGCTGATGCAGTCCAAACTGGGACACTGTTCGGTTGGGTCATATCTGGAGCTGTAGATCTCAGATTTAGATCTGCTTTATATGGTTGGAAAGCTAAGACATAGGCCTAAAAATTTCATGTGGAAGTCAAGACTTAATTCTCCTATTTGGAAGTCAAAATCTTAGCAACAACGTAGAAGTCTGAATATGTCCTGCAGCCTAGACACGGTTCAGTGTGCAGACCATATCTCGAGTTCTAGAAGTCCAAATGACTTCAAAGGTTTTTCTTGAAAAGCTGAGATAATTTCCTAGAACTTTCATATAAAAGTCTCGTTTAAATTCTGACATTGTCAATGACGTTATGGGCAGACAAGAAGATGAGAATTCTCACCAAGTCAAGAGTTGGCCACCCACTTAATAATTAGTCATGAAATCAATAGTTCCTAATTTTGGACTATAAAAGGAGGTATTTTCCATGCATTTAGGCATCTTGGTTTCCATATCAAAATCATGCTCTTGCTTTCTCTCTTTGTATTTTTGTAATGCTTAAGTTTTGCTTTCATTAATATCTTGTTTATGCTTTTCAATTCCTTTCCTTTACTTACTTAACTTTTATCTTATTTATGTTCTTATCTTGTTTATTTATGTTTCTCTCTTTCATTATATTTAGCTAAGTTTATTATGTCAAGGTGAAAAGGTTACACTAATGGTGTAAGAATAAGTATAGTGCAAACTTAACATAGACTTTAATGTTTGATACTAACATGTTTTGTATTTGTTATCTTGTTCACTCTTAATACTTTGCTTGTTAAATAGTTAATCTAGATTTATATTGTATAACACTTGGTACAACAAATACTGGGCATTTTCATAGCCCAACCGAATGGTGTAACCGACACTTGTGCTATAAAAAGAACTTGATTTGTTGTTAACATAAGTTATAATCATGAATGTCTAACAACATTTACAAGTGTTAGCATTATTCAAATAAGATAACTAATGTAATCATGCTAACCATTTATAATTTAATTGAAACCTCCTTTGTGTGTGGTTTCTAGTTGAGTAATAAAAAGAGTTTATACTATAATTGTTTGAAATACCATTAGTGAATCCTTTAACCTTAACATTTGTTGTTATCATTGTTTAATCCTTACATTGATCTTCCATCTCAAAGTTCTCATCAACTTCTTCTTCTTCTTCTTCTTCTATTATTATTATTATTATTATTATTATTATTACTACTACTACTACTATTACTACTACTACTACTACTATTATTACTATTACTATTATTATTATTAGTATTAGTATTAGTATTACTATTACTATTACTATTACTATTACTATTACTATTATTATTCTTATTGTTGTTGTTGTATTGCTGTTATTTATAATTTTATACAATTAACCTCCATATGGTTCGACCCTGGTCTTACTGGGTTATTTATTACTTCGACACTTCTGCACTTGAAAGAAGACATCAATCTCTTGTTTGTGTCAAGTTGTTGGCACTGTTGTCGGGGAGGTAAATTCTTATCCAAATTATAGTATTTATTTTATTTTCTCTTTCACTTTTCTTGTATCTAACATTGTTTCTTTTGTTTTGTTTCTTCTTCCTTTTATTCTATTCCTACACGTCTGTGAGTGTGTGGTCATGTATATTATGTGATAGACTTTGTATAGTATCCTCATCATTTTAAAAAAATATGTCCGAAGAAGATAATCGGTTGCTTCATAATGATAATAATGAGAATCACCGTGTTAGAATACTTAGAGACCACATGAATCCCATAAGAACAAATGCACCCTCATGCATAGTTTTCCCTCCTGATGTATCTCTTTTAATTTTAACCTAGGCATTATTCAACTTTTACCTTCTTTTTATGGTTTTATATCATCATTTTGCACTTGAAGTATCAATAACTCCTTAACTAAAGCATGTTTTATAATAATATATTTAATAATATAAGATACCTTTAATTTATTAATAATGTATCTAATAATATAAGATACCTATAATTTGTGGTAAATGTTCATTTTAAATACAGGCCTATCACATAAATGAAAGGATTGATTGATGACTTTAAGAACTTAAATTGCAAGGATAAAGAGATGGCCAAACTTAGAAAAGAGATGTCGGTGCAATCCAAACCGGAACACTGTTCGGTAATTGGGTCATATCTGGAGCTATATATCTCATATTTAGGTTCAATTTATATGGATGGAAAGGTAAGACATAGACCTACAACTTTCATATGGAGCCCAAGATCTAAAAAGGCCATTTTGAAGTCCAAATTCTAGCAACAACAAAGAAGCCCGAATCTATCTTCCAGCCCGATCACTGTTCAGTATTTTGGCCATATCTGGAGTTCTAGAAGTCCAAATGAGCTGAATTGTTTACACAAGAAAGCTGAGACAATTGCCTACAACTTTCATGTTTTCAACTGGCTCCAATTTTGATGTTATCAATGACATTTTGGGCAGACAAGAGAAGATAAGGATTGTCACCAAGTCAAGAGTTGGCCACCCACTTATCAATTAGTCATCAAATCAATAGTTCCCAATTTTGGCCTATAAAAGGAGGCATTCGCCATGCATTTAGGCATCTTGGTTTCCAGATCAAGATCATGCTCTTCCTTTCTCTCTTTGTATTTTTTGTATTGCTTATGCTTTGCTTTCATTAATATCAAGTTTATGTCTTTCAATTCCTTTCCTTTGCTTTGTTAACTCTTATCTTATTTATGTTCTTATTTTGTTTATTTATTTTTCTTTCTTTCATTATGTCTAGCTAAGTTTATTATGTCAAGGTGAAAAGGTTACACTAATGGTGTAAGAATAAGTATAATGTAAACTTAATATGGACTTTAATGTTTGATACTAACATGTTTTATATTTGTTATCTTGTTTACTCTTTAATACTTTGCTTGTTAAATGACTAATCTTGATTTATGTTGTATAACCCTTGGTACAACAAATGCTTGGCTCTTTCATAGCCTATAATGTATGGTATAACCGACACCTGAGCTATGAAAGGAACTTGATTTGTTGTTAACATAAGTTATAATCATGAATGCTTGACGAGATATACAAGTATTAGCATTAATTGAATAAGATGACTAATGTAATCATGTTAACAATCTATAATCCAATTGGAACCTTCTTTATGTGTGGTTTCCAATTGAATAATAAGAGTTTATATTATACTTGTTTGACATACCATTAGTGGAATCTCTAACCTTGACAATTTTTATTATCATTGTTTAATCGTTATATTAATATTCCTTCTCCAAGTTCTCATCATCATCTTCTTCTTCTCTTTCTTTATTATTATTATTATTATTATTATTATTATTACTACTATTACTACTACTACTACTATTATTATTATTATTATTATTATAGTTATTATTGTTATTGTCATTGTTGTTATTATTGTTATTGTTATTACTATTATTATTGTTGTTGTTGTTATTATTGTTGTTGTTGTACTATTGTCATTTATAATTTGTACAATTAACCTCCCTGTGGTTCGACCCCAGTCTTGCCGGGTTATTTATTACTTCGACACTCCTGCACTTGGGAGAAGACATCAATCTTTTAGTCGTGTCAAACACTATCAGATTAAAACTTTTTCCATTTTCATTAAAAGATAAAGCTAAACTATGACTATAAAATTTGAGACATGGATCCCTTCGTGCTTGGGATGAAATGCAACAATAATTTTTAAAGAAGTGTTTCCTTTCTCACAAAACAAACGCTTTCAAAAGACAAATCACCACTTTCACTCAAAAACCAGGAGAAATATTTTACCAATGTTAGGATAGATATTGAGACTTGCTTAATACTTTCCTTTATCATGGTTTTGAAACATTTAGATTGGTTTTATATTTTTATAAAGGGTTAACACCTAGAGATAGGCAAATGTTTGAATTGATGTGCAATGAAACTTTTAAAGATAAAGACCCTGATGAAACAATAGAGTACTTAGACTTGTTAGCTGAAAATGCTCAAAATTGGGATACTGCAGGTACTTATGAGGTACTGGGTAAAACTCAATCTCATATATCTAGTGGAGATATGTACAACCTTAGAGAAGATCATAACCTCCAAACCAAGTTTGCATCTTTAGCTAGAAAAGTCGAGGCATCAGAATTAAAAAAGAGTGGTCAATTAAAATATGTTTAAGACATTGTGTATCAAATTTGTGAAACAAATGAACACTCAACCAATGACTATCTAACTTTGCCTTCTTCTAAAGAATGTCTCCATAAACAAGCTCATGCTTTAAACAGTTTTCAAAGGCCTAATCATAACCCATACTTGCAAACATACAACCCTGGTTAGAGAAATCACCCAAATTCTAGTTGAAAGAGTGATAATAACAATGCACAAACTTCATAACCATTGTTTCAAACACACCATAATTTCCAAAATTCTTTTGGATCCGCACCTCCTTATGCTCCACCTTTTAAAAGAAATCTTGAGGAAACATTGCATGTATTCATTGAAAAGCAAGAGATAATGAATACTCAACTTGCTCAAAGCATGACAGATTTTAAAGATACTCTTGCAAAATTGACATCTGCTCTCAGTTTCCAAGAGAAATGTAAGTTTCCATCTCAACCACAACAAAATCCTAAGGGGCAATATAATGCAAATGCAAGTAGTTTTGGAAGCCTACACATGGATCAAGTCAAATCAGTCATCACTCTTCGTAATGGTAAGTTTATTGAAAAACTCACTCTTAAACCTTGTGAGAAAGATGATAAGTAAATCTTTAAGGGCAAGGAAGGGGTTGAATCTGAATATTGCAAAGAAAAAACTGATTCTCTGCCAGCACTTTCATTTCCTCATGTCATGACCAAACAACAGAAAATCAATCACAACTCTAAAATCTTTAAAACTTTCAAATAGTTAAGGATCAATATACCTTTACTGGATGCTACTAAACAACTTTGTTTTGAGTCCCTTTTTGTTGTTAAGCCCATTTGTTTTAGGCTTTTTTCTACAAATATTACATGCAATTACAAACAGACAAATCAAGTCCCATATAAAACATGGGCAATTTTCATTTTGTCATCACCCAATCATAGCAGGCAATACCACATGGGTTCATATAGGTTCTGAAGGAATCTCCAAGCTTTCCAACAAGATGTTTTTGCCTTTTCCATGTCAACTCATCTATAAAAGGGGACTCCTAAAACTTTAGAAGGTAGATTATCATTTTCCCTCAGAAAAGTTTATTGTCCCCTGACACGACCAAAAGTTGATGTCTTCTCCCAAGTGTAGCAGTGTCGAAGTAATAAATAACCCGGCAAGACCGGGGTCGAACCACAGGGAGGTTAATTGCACAAATTATAAACAACAACTATAAATAACAACAATAGTAACAATAACAACAACAACAATAATAGTAGCAATAATAACAATAATAATAATAATAATAATAATAATAATAATAATAATACTAGTAGTAGTAGTAGTATTAGTAGTAGTAATAATTATAAACAACAATAATAGCAATAACAATAATAATAATAATAATAATAATAATAATAATAATAATAATAATAATAAAGAAGGAGAAGGAGAAGAAGAAGATGAGAACTTGGAGATGGAAAATTAATGTAAGGACTAAACAATAATAATAACAAATGTCAAGGTTAGAGGTTTCACTAATGGTATGTCAAACAAGTATAGTATAAACTCTTATTATTCAATTGGAAACCACACACAAAGGAGGTTCCAATCAGATTATAGATTGTTAACATGATTACATTAGTCATCTTATTCGATTAATGCTAGTACTTGTAAATCTCGTCAAGCATTCATGATTATAACTTATGTTAACAACAAATCAAGTTCCTTTCATAGCTCAGGTGTTGGTTATACCATACAGTATGAGCTATGAGAGTGCCAAGCATTTGTTGTACCAAGTGTTATACAACATAAAGCAAGATTAGTCATTTAACAAGCAAAGTATTAAAGAGTAAACAAGATAACAAATATAAAACATGTTAGTATCAAACATTAAAGTCCATATTAAGTTTACATTATACTTATTCTTACACCATTAGTGTAACCTTTTCACCTTGACATAATTAACTTAGCTAGATATAATGAAAGAAAGAAAAATAGATAAACAAAATAAAAACATAAAAGTTAACTAAGTAAAGAAAAGGAAATGAAAGGCAGAAACTTGATATTAATGAAAGTAAAGCATAAACATTACAAAAAATACAAAGAGAGAAAGGAAGAGCATGATCTTGCTCTGGAAACCAAGATGCCTAAATGCATGGCAAATTCCTCCTTTTATAGGCCAAAATTGGGAACTATTGAGTTGATGACTAATTGATAAGTGGGTGGCCAACTTTTGACTTGGTGACAATCCTTATCTTCTCTTGTCTGCCCAAAACGTCATTGATAACATTAAAATTGGAACCAGTTGTAAACATGAAAGTTGTAGGCAATTATCTCAGCTTTCGTGTGTAAAAACTTCAGCTCATTTGGACTTCTAGAACTCCAGATATGGCCAAAATACTGAATAGTGCTCGGGCTGGAAGATAGATTCGGGCTTCTTTGTTGTTGCTACAATTTGGACTTAAAAATGGCCTTTTTAGATCTTGGGCTCCATAGGAAAGTTGTAGGCCTATGTCTTACCTTTCCATCCATATAAATTGGACCTAAATCTGAGATCTGTAGCTCCAGATATGACCCAATTACCGAACAATGCTCCGGTTTGGATTGCACCGACATCTCTTTTCTAAGTTTGGCCATCTCTTTATCCTTGCAATTTAAGTTCTTCAAGTCATCAATCAATCCTTTCATTTATGTGATAGACCTGCATTAAAAATAGACATTTACCACAAATTATAGGTATCTTATATTATTAGATACATTATTATAAAACATATTTTAGTTAAGGAGTTATTGATACTTCAAGTGCAAAATGATGATATAAAACCATGATACATGCTTTAGTTAAGGAGTTATTGATACTTCAAGTGCAAAATGATGATATAAAACCCTGATAAAAATGCACTTTTAAGTACTAATCATCCCCTGTAACTTATATTTGTAGCCCATATCCATTCTTCTCCGTAACCAAAATCTCCTGTATTGATTTTCATTATAAATTTAAGCAAGATTCTATTTTTATTATTTACATTCTTATTAAATTTTATATACATTTAAGTATACTTTATGTTTGATCAAGGATCCTGACATTGCTAGTTTTGCCTTGTTCATTCACATCAAAAATCTGTTTATATTTACTTGCATTTATTTCTTTGTTCTTTTCACAAAATTAGTATATAAGCTGGAAACCTGTAACCCGATCTTTTAGATCATTCTCAGGTATAACAATGTCAGGTGCTGAAATAACATCTAGTGTGTGTGTGTGTGTGTCTGTTAAGTATTGATGATGGAAATAAAATTTGAAACCCTTGTACAATATATATATATATATATATATATATATACACACACACACATACCAGATGTTATTTCAGTACATGTGTGATGGATTGAATAGGTAAATTGGAAGTAGTCAATAACATGGGACGTTCTAGATACAAAAGAAACTCTACCGGAATTTCAATAGAATTCTTTTCAAAATAAAAAATTACCATCACATTAAAAGCATATGTCAGAATCTTTTAGCGTTTACAGAATAGAACAATAGGGACTACTACAATCCTAATGCATTTTTGTGCATTTTCAGAGTTTGTAATAACTTACCTTTTTTATATCCATTAAGTTTGGAAGAAATTATAACTAGAAAAGTTTTATTTTCTTCCAAAAATGAGTACTTGAGATTAGATGGTAAAAACTTTAAATTAGGTTTGGGTGGATAAATACTTAAAGATATGGACTCAATTGATCATGGTGGAAATTCATCAATTTTTGGTCTCTAACTACTTACCTTTTATTCTTTCTGAAAATAAACCATTTACAAATCTTCAGATTCATTAAATTTAGTTTTATTAGAAGTAGTTTCAAATTAATCATAAACTAATTTTTCAATAAAGTCTAACTTTTTATAAATCATTATTATCTCCA